GAGGAGGAGGAGGAGGAGGAGGAGGAGGAGGAGGAGGAGGAGGAGGAGGAGGAGGAGGAGGGAGCATCTTGGGAGCCTCTGGGGACACTCTTGGGGCCTCCTGGGAGCTTCCTGGGAGCCTCTTGGACCTTCGGGGGGCTTCTCGGGGGCCTTTTTGGCCGTCTTGGTGGGCTTCTGGCCCGTCTGACGCCGTCGGAAGCTGTCTTGGAGGCCTCTCTGGGCCGTCTTGTGGCCCTCTTGGGGTGCTCCAGGGCCGTCTTGGAGACCATCTTGGGCGTCTTGGAGGCCTCTTGGACCGCCTGGGGCCCCCTTGGGGCCGTCTTCCGGGCCTCTTGGGCCGTTCTGGGTCCATCTTGGAGACCTCTTGGGCGATCTTTGGGGGCTCTTGTGCCGTCTCGGGCCGTCGGAAGGCCGAACAACAAGCAAATGCCCAAATCCTTCAAACACCTGAGGGAAACCAATGATTTTGGCCTTTTCGGACCTTCCTGGAGGCCCTCCTGGAGGGCTCTTGGGCCGTCTTGGGCCATCTTAGGGCCATCTTCGGCCGTCTTGTTGGGCTCCTGGCCCGTCTGACGCCGTCGGAAGCCGCTTGGGGGGCCTCTCTGGGTCGACTTGGGGCCCTCTTGGAATGCTCCAGGGCCGTCTTGGAGGCCATCTTGGGCGTCTTAGAGGCCTCCTGGGCCGTCTGAGGGCCTCTTGGGGCCGTCTTCCGGGCCTCTTGGGCTGTTCTGGGGCCATCTTGGAGGCGTCTTCGGCGATCTTCGGGCGATCTTTGGGGGCTCTTGGAGGCCTTTGGCCAATCCCGCCACCGTGCCTGGGTTGTAGGTCAGAGGCCTCCTGGATGCCTGTGGGGATCTCTCGGGAGGCCTCTCGGATGCCTCTTGGAGGGGGTTTTGGGGGTGTCTTGGCGCGTCCTGGGGGCCTCGTGGAGCCTTATTTTCGCTTCTCGGGGCCTCTTGGGGCCTTTTGGGTGCAACTTCGGGGGCTTGTGGGGGGATCTTGGGGCCATCGTGGGGCGGAGGGCTCAAAATGTCAGGTCGCGTTCCCCATCTTGGGCCCCTCTTGGGGCCGTTTTGGAGGCCTCTCAGGCCCCTCTGAGGGCTCTTGGGTCGTTTCGAGGCGATCTTGGGCGCCTCTTGGGCTGTCGTGGACGCTCTGCAGACGGACAAGGCGGTACAGTCGGGGCGCTGAAGAAGGAACCCTTTTCGTTGGGGAGGGGCTCGGTGTTCCGTGATTGCTACACGGCTTGCCTCGGGTTTTCCCCATGGTTTCGATGGGAAATCGAAGTTTAACTTATGGAAAAAAGGGACCTCGTTCCTTATTTAGGGTTCCTTAGGTCAACGCCCCGACGGTAATGCGAAGAACGTGCCAAAAAACCAATCGGTCTTGACGGTTTTGGCCTCTTGGGGCCGCCCTCCAGGGCCGCCGCGACGGCCCCAGATCGACGTCACCCCAACATACTTATACTATATGTGCGTCGCCCCCCTGGGGGCGACGCGCGCACCGAGAAATCTTATAGTATATGCGTCGTGGCGGGCGCTTTCTGGCCACACCGCTCGGGAAACGATATACTACAAGATGGGTATACTACATGCTCGGGTCGGACGCGCGCCTCCAAAGATAACATATAGTACTAGCACGTCTTTGTGCATCCCACCAGAGGCGCCACTGGGCCCCCAGGACGGTCCTTGGGGCCATCTGAAGCCATGTCGGACGTGCGTGGCCCGAGCCGCGGGCTCTTGGCCAGGGGCGGACCCCAACGGTGTTTGGGCGACTTCGTGGGGTGTTTTCGCTTCGATGCCGTCCTGCAGCGGAGGCGCGCTCGAGACACAACGAGGGGCCACGAAGACAAAGCGAACGAACTCGAGACAAAACGAGGGACAACGAAGACAAAACGAGGGACAACGAACTCGAAACAAAACGAGGGAAACGCTGTTTAGGTCCAGCCCTGCTCTTGGCCGCTCGAGAAGTCACGCGGGGGGACTCCCCGAGAGCACGCGAGAGCGCCCAGGGAGCGCCCAGGGAGCGCGCGAGAGCGCCCGGGACTCCGGGCTGCAGGCCTCTTGAGGAATGATACTTGCGGAGCTCACGCATTGTTCAGTTCTAGCTCTTCGAAAGTTCTTTGTTTTTTTGGGGGGGCCAAGATCCTTTCATTTCTAGTTGTTCTGTCCTGGGCCTCTCCCTGGCCACGAGGGGGCCAGGAACAGTTAGAAACGAGCACAATTAGAAAGGAACACGATTAGAAATGAACAACGTGTACAGAGAACTCGAAGGGATCTGAGGACGCTCCAACTCATGCCTCAGGGCACGGTTGCGGATTGCATGTAGGAAGCGGATGGCTCTCTCCTCCCTCTCCTTCCTCTCGTCTTCCTCATTGCCCCTCCCTCCGAACCGCCTCCCGAACCTCTCAATGGGTGCATGTTGATGATAGTTTCGAATGGAATCCATCCGTGGCGACGATCAGCTCTTCTGAGGCACAAGGGTGAGAAAGTGCGATCCGCAAACTCATCCCTAAACTCGATCCTCGATCCGCGAAGCTCGAGCCTCCTCCTCCTCCTCCGCCGCCTCCTCCTCCTCCCTCGTGCTCCTTTCCCCTACCCCTGCCGCAGGACGACGTGGTTGACTTCGTCGACAGGCTGTGCGTCCTGACCAAGCGCGAGGGGCGGTGGCTCAGACGGCTGGACGTGCAGGAACTCCCTCCCGCCAGTCGTCGTCGTCGTCGTCGTCGTCGTCGTCGTCGTCGTCGTCGTCGTCGTCGTCCCGCCTCGTCCCTCCGTCTGCCCTTCGCGTCGTCGTCGTCGTCCTCCCCCTCCTCCTGCTACTGCCCCTCCTCTTCTTCTTCCTCCTCTTCTTCTTCCTCCTCCTCCTCCTCCTATCCTCCTTCTCCTCCTCTTCCTCCTCCTCCTCCTCCCTCCCTCCTCCTCCCTCCTCCTGCTCCTGCCCCTCCTTCTGCGCTCTTTTTTAAGCGGGTGTGGTGAAAACTCTCCCTGAAGCCATCCGCACACCGCCAGACCAGAGCAGGCAGAACCGCCGTCGCGAATGTGGGCACAGGCGATCAGAGATGCACCGCCGAGTCCTCTGACCGCTTACGCTCCGACAGAGGTATAAGGTCGAGGTCGGTTCGGGGAGGGCACCCTCATGTTCTTCGTGCTTGTTGGATGCTCCTGTGCATCCTGTGGAGGGTACCCTTGGCTGTTTTGTGTTTTGGCTGGCGGAGGGTCTCATGTTCTTGGAGGATGCTCTTCTGTCCTGGGCCCGGCCGTAGTGGGAGGGGTGTCACAGTCAACCATCAGCGCATTGCTCCTTTCTCAGACGGGGAAAACACACAGACACGATTCATCGTCGACTCCAAGGGTTTTTCGGGGAAAATTTTGGAAGTGGGGGGGAAGACGAAAACCAAGAAAATATGGGCAAATATGGGGGATCCTGGGATCTGTGTGTATTTATTTGTGTGTCCCTGGGCCTTGTCTCGGGCGACGACCAGTATGCACATGCGCCCATCCTTGCCAGGCCCCTTCTTGGCTCAGTGTCGATGCAGATGTCCGTCTGGCCAATCAAGGAGGGCGTGTGTACCCGTTCTCGGCCCAGTCTGAGTTCGGCTGGGGCTGTCGTGAGTGTGTAAATTTCGCCCCTCGAAGGCAAGCTGCACGCGTGCAGCACCGGCTACCCAGGCGTGGAGGAAGCTCCACCATCACCACGTGTCCGTCGCCACATCAGGCGGTGCCGTCATTGAGCATGCGTGGGCGCAGGCGGATGTGCGCGCGGGGCTGGTTCTGCGCGGTCTCGCCATCGACAAGGAGGAGGAGGAGGAGGAGGAGGAGGAGGAGGCGGAGGCTGAGGAGGAGGAGGAGGAGGAGGAGGAGGAGGAGGAGGAGGAGGAGGAGGAGGAGGAGGAGTGAGGGGGAGGAGGTAAGCTTGGTGCGCTCGCGCCATATCTGACATCCTGCCCCTCCCGCTCATCCCTTCCCATTGCATTGCTTTTTTCCTCTCTATCTGCCGGCGGGTGTCCTAGCGGACCGTTGTCCCCTGAAGGCCTGAAGGTCCCCATGGTGTGATGAGCTTTCAGAAAAGGGGAGCCGTGTAGACTGGTAGAGGAGGTGGCGGATGAGCAGGAGGATGAGCAGGAGGACGAGGAGGAGGCGAAGGAGGAAGAGGAGAAGGAGGAGGAGGAGGAGGAGAGCAGCAGCAGGAGCAGGAGGAGCGGGAGTGGCAGGATGACCAGGGGAAGGTGGAGGAGGGGCAGCGACGGGGAAGGAATCGGATGTTGCCCGCGGTTGGGCGAGAGCGCCGTTCTGAACGAAGGAGTCAAAGCGCCGACTCCTCCTCCTCCTCCTCCTCCTCCTCCTCCTCCTCCTCCTCCTCCTCCTATATGGCCAACGATGTGGCGGGAATACCTTCTTTCGCGTAACAGGCAGTATGCGGAATAGGCGGGGGAAGCTACAGGCATCATCAGGAGAGACAGAGAGAGAGAGAGAGAGAAAGAGAGGATAGTTGTATTCAGATGGAGTAATTGTAGAAGTCGGATGGTGTCTGTGCGCGCTCGCAATCGCGCAGGAGGAGGGGGAGGAGGAGGAGGAGGAGGAGGAGGAGGAGGAGGAGGAGGAGGAGGAGGAGGAGGAAAAGGACAGATATAATAAGGACGTGTACTGCGCAGTCCCCGTCTCTCTCACCCCATCTCCTCAGTTCCTTATTTTCATTCTCGTCCTCATCTTCGTCTTCGTCCTCCCTCTCTCTCCTCCCCTCCACCCCCCCTCCCCTCACCATCTTTCCTTGTCGTCTTCATCGTCTATTTTTTTACGTTTATTCATGATGGTAGTTCCGCTGGGTCAACCGGGCCGATGCCAAGCAGCTCGAAATTGTTTTTGTTGCACCGTCTAGTCCGTCAGAACTCCGGGCGACTTGACGTGGCTTGGGCGATCTCCTCGCAACAGCAGGCGAGCTCGAGCGTGCTGCACGTTGTCCAGCGCGGTGTATGCAGCTCTGGATCAGCCAGTCTTGCTCTCGAAGGCCGCTCCGATGACCTCGGCGACCACGCTGCCTTCCGCCTGGTCCTTTCCTGTCCCCTTCTCCCCCCCCGGCTCAAGCCATGTCGGACCGAGAGTCCAGCAAGGCAAGGCCCGCCGCCCGCGTCGGCCCCCTCTCCGGGGGGCGCTTGGGCGCGCGTGCGCGCGGGGCTAGCTTTCGAGGCGCCGCCCGCCGCGCGCGCGCCCGGAGCGCATGGGGAAGAAGAGGACCGCTGCCGGCGATGACCTGGCGCTGGGGGGGCACCGGAGCCAGTGGTGGTGCTACTACTGCAACACGGAGACGAAGGACGAGGAGTCCCTGGTCAGGCACCAGCAGTCGAAGCACTTCAGGTGCACGCTGTGTGGCCCGGCCTCGCCGTTCAAGTTCTGCCAGAGCGTGAGCGGCCTGCTGGCGCACGTGCGGAGATCGCACAAAATGGAGTTGACCAAGGTGCCGGGAGCGGTCGAGGGGCGAGACGACGTCAAAGTGGACGTGTTCGCCATGCGGGGTATCGACGGCGCCTGCGGCGAACCACCGCCGCCCCCTGCCTTTTGGAAATGCCCATGCGGCCAAACGTTGTGCCGAAGCCTGGCCAAGCTATTGAACTATGTGCCCCCCAGCCGTTGTGGACCCCGCGTGGGAACACTTGGGAGAGGAAGAGCAAGGAGGAGGAGGAGAAGGAGGAGGAGGGAACGCAGGAGGAGGAGGAGGAGGAGGAGAAGGAGGAGGAGGAGGAGGAGGAGGAGGAGGTGGATGATGAGGAGGAGTACGAGGAGGAGGAGGAGAGGGAGGAGGAGGCGAGGAGGAGGAGGAGGAGGAGGAGGAGGAGGAGGAGGAGGAGGAGGAGGAGGAGGAGGAGGAGCAGGAGGAGGAGGGGGATGATGAGGAGGAGGAGGCGGACGAGGGGGAGAATGATGATGATGATGATGATGATGATGATGATGATGATGATGATGATGATGATGATGATAATGACGATTATGATGATTATGATGCTGCTGCTGCTGATGATGCTGATGCTGATGATGCTGATGATTATGGTGATTCCGATGATGATGATGATGTCGTTGTTGACGATGATGCTGATTATCGTGATACTGATGCTGATGCTGATGATGATTCTGATTATGATGACGCTGATGACGCTGATGATGCTGATGATTGTAGTGATGATGCTGATGATGATGCTGATGTTGATGCTGATGCTGCTGCTGATGATGAGGATGAGGTTGATGTTGATGCTGCTGATGCTGCTTCTGATGATGATGGTGATGATGATGACGATGCTGTTGCTGACGATGCTGATGACGGTGATGATGATGGTGATGGTGATGGTGATGGTGATGATGATGACGATGATGATGCTGATGGTGGTGATGATGATGCTGATGAGGATGAGGAGGAGAAGCAGGAAGAGGAGGAGGAAGAGGAGGAGGAGGAGTAGGATGATGATGATGATGATGATGATGATGATGATGATGATGAGGATGAGGAGGATGAGGATGATGATGATGATGATGACGATGATGATGACGATGATCATGAGGATGAAGAGGAGGATGACGAGGAGGAGGAGGGCGAGCAGGAGCTGAAGGGCTAGGAGCAGGAGGAGGTGGAGGAGGGCGAGGAGGAGGAATACCAATCAGAAGAAACATCATAGTAATAATAATAATACTAGTAATAATACTAATCATAACAATAAGAAGAATAATACTAAGCATCATTCAACTAATAATGATAATGATAAGGCGACTGAGAATCATACCATTAACAATAATAACGATAATCATATTACTGAGAAGAAAGATAACAATACTGACCAGCATACTAATCATAGTAAAGTAAGAAGACGCATGCTACTCATACTAAGAATCATAATGCTAGGAAACTGAATGCTACGAATACTATTAATATACATATAACGGGGGACAGGGTCCGGGTGCTGGGGGCCGGGGCCCCGACCGCAAATGTGGGGCCCGGCCGGCCCGCCTCTGGGAGGCCTAAAATCGCCCCGGGGAGCCCTCAGACAGCAATCCCGGCGGCCCCAGACGGTCTCGAGACACCCCCAAGACGGCGTCCAGAGGTCTTTGGCGACGCACGATACGTTTGAAGCTGCCCCGGAGGCCCCCAAGACGCCCCGAGAGGCCTTTAAGATGCCGCCCAAGAGTGGCCCCGAGAGGGCAAAATCGTTGATGTTCATTTTTTTTTTGCATTCTCGCTGTTCCGTGTTTCCGGCGCTAAAGCACCGCCCAAGAGGCTCCCCAAACCGCTCCAAGACGGCCCAAGAGGCCCCGAAGAGGGCCCCAAGACGGCCCAAGAGAGCCCCGAGACGGCCGCAAGAGCTACTCAAGACGGCGCAAGAGGGTCCCAAGAAGGACCCAAGAGGGGCCCAAGAAAGGGAACGCGAACTGACAAATCAAGCTCTCCGCCCCAAGATGCCCCCAAGAGGCCCCAAAAGGCCCCCAGGAAGCCCCCAAGAGGCCCCACGAGGCCCCAAGACGTCGCAGGATAGCTTTAAACTGCCCTGGAGGCCCCCAAGACGCCCCAAGAGGCCTTTGAGATGCCGCCCACGAGCGCCCCGAGAGGGCTCCCGGGAAGCTCCCAAGAGGCCCCGAGAGGCCCCAAGAGACCCCAATAGGCCCCTAAGAGGGCCCCGAGACGGCCCAAGAGAGCCCCGAGACGGCCCCAGAGCCGCCGAAGACGGCGCAAGAGGGTCCCAAGAAGGCCCCAAGAGGGGCACCATAGAGGGAACGCGAACTGAAAAATCAAGCTCTCCGCCCCAAGATGCCCCCAAGAGGCCCCAAGAGGCCCCTGGGAAGCCCCGAAAGGCCCCCCAGAGGCCCCAAGAGGCCCCCAAGAAGCCCAAAAGAGGCTCCAAGAGGCCCCAAGACGGCACCCAAAAGGCTTCAAAATTCTTTCCAAGAGGCCCCCGAAGACATGCCAAGAAGGTCCCATGACAACTTCAAGAAGCGGTCCAGGATGCTCCGAGGAGGCCCCGACGGCCTCTGAAGAACCCGTGGCAAATCAGAGGCCTCCTCGAGGCCTCCCGGGCCGTCTTGAGGCCGTCCGGAGGCCGTCTTGGGCCATTTGGGGGGGGTCTCGGCCGGCGCGGGCGAACCTGGAGGCCATCTTGGGCGATCTTGGCCGTCCCGGAGGCGGGCGTTGTGCAGAGTCGTGGCCGTCTTGGACACGGTGACGCGTCCAGCCGAGACCCCACCGGGAATCTTTTGGACGGCACAAAACGCCATGACATGTAGCATGCCGTGCACCTCAGTGGCCAGCAGGGCGGCGGATCGAGCGGCCTGCGCCCATCCCGCCACTGTGCCTGGGTCTCTGGGTTCTTCCTCCTCCTCCTCCTCCTCCTCCTCCTCCTCCTCCTCCTCCTCCTCCTCCTCTAGGGCTCTTCTCGAGGCCCCTCGGGGGCCCGTCGGGGTGTCCCGGGGCCAGCCCGGGCTGGCAATCCTTCCTCGTCGCACGCCTGTGTTACGGCAGGCTCCTGCCGTGCCGACGCGGCGGCGACCCCGGCGCGGGCGTTCGGGGCCAAACTCAGCCACTTGGTTCAGAGTCGGCCAGTGTGGAACGGTCGGGCGATCGGAGAAAGCCGCCGATCGTTCACGATCTGGAAGCGAGCCACGCGGCGTCAGAAGCACCAGCGTACAGGCCGTCACGACGCGAGCCTGCTGCAGCCCTGGCGGCCGGCCGGCCCACCCCGTGCACAGCGCGCGGCGGCGGATCCCGCAGGAGTTCCTCCCCGCGCAGCAGCGAAGACGAAACAACGGCAGACATCCAAACTTTCGGCGCTCCGCGCGGCTTTCGTGGAACTTCGCGCTGGGCCTCCGCGGCGGCGCCTCCGGCGCCGCCCCCGGCGCGCTCCGCGCGCGCCAGGGAGGGGGGGCCCGGCGCAGAGCCAGGAACGCCGCGCGGAGCGCCAACGGTTGGATGCTGCTGGCGCTTCTGCTTCCTCTGCAGCAAGCCGCGAAGGCGGCGCCCCCGGTGATGCAGCCGCCGCCCACCCCCACCACCCCCGAGGGCATGCTCGCCGTGCTGGAGCTGCACAAGCAGGCGGAGGCGAAGCGGCAGAGGGAGGCCGCCGAGGCGGCCTCGGCGCTGCAGGCGTCCAGCGCCCGGGGCGGGCTGGCGGCCCGGAGGGACGCCGCGGGGGGCCTCAAGCTCGCCACGAATCTAGGCTTAAGTTGGGCCTGTCCTGTCCCTCAGGAGGAATAGTCAAAAATAGTCTGGGGGCGCTTTTTGTGGAAAAATATTTTTGGACCACGTTGGGATATGTTTCGAGTATTTACAGTTTTTCGGCCGTACTCCGCCTGCAGGGGGCCCCAAGCTCTCCATGAATCCAGGCTTCCCATGGGCTCCGAGCAGGTGGGGTCGGGGGGTCGCGCCGCAGCGCCGATGCATCGCAGACGTGGCTCGATGTGACGGCCGATTTTCTCCACGCTGAGGTCGCCGATGCTTTGCCCGCGTCGACGATGATGCATCGCCGGTGCATCGCCAGTGCATGGGCGATGCATCGGCGATGCGGTGCGATCGGACCCCATCTGCTCGGACCCCAGCTGGGAGGCCTCCAACGAAGCAGACGGGCCCTGAGCCCAGACGCGCTCGCGCTGCGACCGATCAGGGCGAGAGGTCTTCCGTTGTATCTTCGGCCTCCGGGGGGGGCCCTTCCCGGGCCCCAGGGCCGTCAGCAAAGCACGGCTCGGGATGAGCAAAACCGGTCCCGGGGGAAGGGCTCGGGACTTCCGGGGCCCAAGTCTCGGCGCGTCGCCTGTCAGGTCTGGGGGGGGGAAGCGGAGGCGGAGGAGGAGGAGGAGGAGGAGGAGGAGGAGGAGGAGGAGGAGGAGAGGAGGAGGAGGAGGAGGAGGAGGAGGAGGAGGAGGAGAAGGAGGAGGCGAGAGGCGGATAGGCGGAGAAGAGGAGGAGAGGAGGGAGGAGGCGGAAGAGGAGGAGGAGGAGGAGAGGGATGAAAGAGGAGGAGGAGAGAGGAGGAGGAGAGGAGGAGGAGGAGGAGGAGGAGCAGGAGGAGCAGGAGGAGCAGGAGGAGGAGGAGGAGGAGGAGGAGGAGGAGCTCCGGGGCCTCCAACGCGTTGCCGAAAAGCCAGCCGGCCGCGGGGCCGTGCTACTCGCGGCCGCCGTGGGCGCGGGCGCCGACGCTTCCGGGCCGTCGCTGGCGTCCGCGGCCCTGGGCGCCATCGGCTCGCTGAGCGCTGCGGCGACGGGCGCCGTGGGCGCGCCGCTGCTGGGTCAGGGAGGCACTTCTGTAATTTTTGTGGCTGTTGCTGCTGTTGCTGTTGCTGTTGCCGCTGCCGCTGCCGTTGCCGCTGCCGCTGCCGCTGCCGTTGCCGTTGCCGTTGCCGTCGTTGTTGTTGAACATTATTTATTCTAAAGAATAATTATTGTTGGGCCCCCTGGTGCGCGCCCCCCCTGCGCCGCCTAGGCCGCAGCTACATTTTCATCATTTTCGTGAGGAAGCCTCAGAAAAGAGGGTGTGTACAGGATCCGGTTGTTTTGTTGTAATCCGCTTTCCCTTGCAAAAAACAATAGAAAATGACATTTCTTGTTCTAATATAATCAAATTTCAAGAATCCCTTGCAAAAGATAAGGTAAAGTGGACATTCGCGCGCGCAAGACGAAATCCTTCCAAAACCTTAGTGTTCGCAGCGATTTTAACATAAAAACATCAAAAAACCAATGGTTTTTCAACAAAAAATTGTCAAAATCTCATCCCGCGCGCTCTTGCGGATTCGTAGGAAACCCAACACTTTTTAAACATTTCTGTCAAACGGGCTTTTGCGAGCAACTTTTTCGAACTTCTGCGACAACGGTTGCGCACCTGCCAGGGCCATCATCCCTGTCAAATAATACCATGCGGGACACATTCGTTTTTTCTTCGCGCGCGCACGCCGAAATCTCCAAAAACCATTGGGCTTCTTAAGAATTTTAGCACCGCGCATCATAAAATCACACGAATCGCACCGTAGGTCCTCGAAAAACACCTGCACGACTTTTCAAAATTTCCACCCGCGCGCGCTGTCCGAATCCTAAAAAAACCAATGGTTTTCCAACATTTATGTTACATGTCCTCCGTGAGGAGGCGTATCGGCACCATGCTTGGACACTTGGCCCCTGATGTATTTCTGCCAGGAGCCCAGCTGGCAGCATTGCGCCCCATCCGTGCCATCAGGGACGGGCGTATGCCAGAAGATGACGAGCACACGAACTCGTCTCTTTAGAGCCGCGGCGGGGAAAAGACGGTGGGTGGGCGTGCAAGCGCCGTTCCCGCCCCTCCTTCCTCTCTCTTCTCTCCTTTCCTCCTTGTCCTGCTCCTCCTCCTCCTCCTCCTCCGGCGGGGGGCGTGAGGATCCGGCATCGCTCACAACCATCGGGACAACCATCGGGACAACCATCGGAACAACCATCGGGACAACCATCGGGACAATCATCGGGACAGTCATCGGGACAACGATCGGGACAAGCACAACCATCAGGACAAACATCGGGACAATCATCGGGACAACGATCGGGACAACCACAACCATCAGGACAACCATCGGGACAACCATCGAGACAACCATCGGGACAACCATATCCTCTCTCTCTTGTGTATTCCCACATCCCTCAGGAATTTGCCCTAAAGATGTGATCAACTATCTTGTGAGTACGTATCATGTGTATCATGTGTATCATGTACCATATGCATCATATGCAACAGATGTTCTGTGGAAGGCTTAACAACTTCTGTGGGTTAACAAGGCTTAACAACTTCTGTGGGTGTACGAACGTAGGCTTAACAACTTCTGTGGGTGTGTACTCCACGCCAGTGTAGTAGCCACGGTCGTCCGCAGGCCACGAAGTGAAGTGTCCGAACGTCATAGGGCGGGAAGCTGGGTGTGGGTGGTGGCGAAGAGTCGTGTGGATATTTGGTAGAGCTTGCACTGCCCCCCCACAAAGTGGGGGTATTGGCTGGCGTCGCATGAAAACCCTGGCACTGGTGAGAACACTGAGCGTTCGGGTAAAGGGATTGTTGTTGAACATTATTTATTCTAAAGAATAATTATTGTTGGGCCCCCTGGTGCGCGCCCCCCCTGCGCCGCCTAGGCCGCAGCTACATTTTCATCATTTTCGTGAGGAAGCCTCAGAAAAGAGGGTGTGTACAGGATCCGGTTGTTTTGTTGTAGTCCGCTTTCCCTTGCAAAAAACAATAGAAAATGACATTTCTTGTTCTAATATAATCAAATTTCAAGAATCCCTTGCAAAAATAAGGTAAAGTGGACATTCGCGCGCGCAAGACGAAATCCTTCCAAAACCTTAGTGTTCGCAGCGATTTTAACATAAAAACATCAAAAAACCAATGGTTTTTCAACAAAAAAATGTCAAAATCTCATCCCGCGCGCTCTTGCGGATTCGTAGGAAACCCAACACTTTTTAAACATTTCTGTCAAACGGGCTTTTGCGAGCAACTTTTTCGAACTTCTGCGACAACGGTTGCGCACCTGCCAGGGCCATCATCCCTGTCAAATAATACCATGCGGGACACATTCGTTTTTTCTTCGCGCGCGCACGCCGAAATCTTCAAAAACCATTGGGTTTCTTAGGAATTTTAGCACCGCGCAACATAAAATCATACGAATCGCACCGTAGGTCCTCGAAAAACATCTGTACGAATTTTCAAAATTTCTACCCGCGCGCGCTGTCCGAAGCTAGCGTCCAGAAAATGTTACCACAACAAGTCACTGTACCCATGCGCCAGTGTAGTAGCCACGGTCGTCCGCAGGCCACGAAGTGAAGTGTCCGAACGTCATAGGGCGGGAAGCTGGGTGTGGGTGGTGGCGAAGAGTCGTTTGGAAATTTGGTAGAGCTTGAACCGGCCCCCCCACAAAGTGGGGGTATTGCCCGCCTCCTATGAAAACCCTGGCACTGGTGAGAACGGAGTGTCCCCACGTGCTAGTAATTGTTGTTGTTGTTGTTGTTGTTGTTGTTGTTGTTGTTGTTGTTGTTGTTGTTGTTGAACTCTCATTCTTGAAGAATAATTATTGTTGATCCCCCCCCACCGGTGCACATGGATTTTTTTCAATTGAAGTGCCCCCCCCGGGGCTCGCACCTTGTTTTTTGACAGGGAAAGTCTTACTGCTCAAACTCCGGGTTGCAACAACAACGGCTCCCGCCTGAGAATTCTTACAATTTAGCCAGGACCCCCGCTCCCGCCCGAGACTTCCTCGCATTTGATTTAGCTCCCTTGCGTTGGAATTTCTTGCAATTTACTCCAGCGCCGCGCTCCCGACACCCAGGCACCCAGGAGTCGCGCTCACGCTTAGGACTCCTTCACAAATTACCTAGGAATCGGGATCTCGCTGCCCTTCGTGGCCTCGTTGCAGCCCTTCGTGGCCCCCTCGCTTTGCTTCGTGGCCCCGTTGCAGCCCTTCGTTGCCTCCTCGTTGCCCTTCGTGGCCCCGTTGCAGCCCCTTCGTGGCCCCCTCGCTTTGTTTCGTGGCCCCGTTGCAGCCCTTCGTGGCCCCCTCGCTGCCCTTCGTGGCCCCGTTGCAGCCCTTCGTGGCCCCGTTGCAGCCCTTCGTGGCCCCCTCGCTGCACTTCGTGGCCCCGTTGCAGCCCTTCGTGGCCCCCTGGCTTTGTTTCGTGGCCCCATATATGTATGCCCTTCGTGGCCCCCGCTCGTTCGCGCCCGTGGTGGCCCCATATGCATGCCCTTCGTGGCCCCGCTGTCGCCCTTCGTGGCCCCCTCGCTGCCCTTCGTGTCCCCGTTGCTGCCCACAGTGGCCCCGTCCTTACCCTCCGCGGCCCAACACACGTATGCCCTTCGTGGCCCCCGCTCGTTCGCGCCCGTTGTGGCCCCATGTGCATGCCCTTCGTGGCCCCGCTGTCACCGTTTGTGACCCCCTCATTGTCCTACGTGGCCCAGGTGCTACCCTCAGTGGCCCAATCGTTGCCTTCTGTGGCCCCGCATTATCTGCCCTTCGTGGCCCACGCTCGTTCGCGCTCTTCGTGGCCCCATGTGCATGCCCTTCGTGTCCCCGCTGTCGCCCTTCGTGGCCTACTTCGTGTCCTTCGTGGCTCTGCTGTCGTTCTCTCTCGCTCTCGCTTTCGCTCGTCGTCGCCGTCGTCGTCGTCGCCGTCGTCTTCGACGTCGTCGTCGTCGTCGTCGTCGTCGTCGTCGTCGTCGTCGTCGGTCCCCTGTCCGTCCCTCTTGGGGTCGGGTCGACGGTCCGCGGCCGCCCCGCCGATCAGCGCTGCCGCTGGCCAGGCCGACGGTCCGCGGCCGCCCCGCCGCTTGCCGGGGCCCGGCCTGCAGGGAAGAAAGGTATACCCCCCAAGAGGGGATCGATCGAAGACGAAAAGGACGGGTATCGAGGGTTTGGGAAATAGGCGTTATTTGACACTCGAGCAGATAAGGGCGAACAATCTTAAAATGATTGTTGTTGTTGTTGCTCTTGTTATTGAATTCTCATTTCTGAAGAATATTATTGTTGATCCCCCCGTCAAGTGCCATTGTTTTTTCGATTGAAGTGCCCTTCCGGACGCTCGCACATTGTTTCTTATTAGGGAAAGTCTTGAGCGTCAAACTGTGTCGTTGGTTCCCGGTTTACAACGGCTCCCGCCTGAGACTTCCTCACAATTAAGCCAGGACCACCGCTCCCGCCCGAGACGTCCTCGCGTTTTATTCAGGAATCGCGCTCTCGCTTGGGACTTCCTTCGAATTTATTATCCCGGCGCTCTGGAGTCGCGCTCTGGCTGGATACTTGCTTGCAATTTACTGAAGAATAGCGCCCTTTTGTTTTGGAATTTCTTGCAATTTACTCAAGCGCCGCGCTCCCGACACCCAGGCACCCAGGAGTCGCGCTCACGCTTAGGACTCCCTTACAGATTACATAGGAATCAGATCTCGCTGCCCTTCGTGGCTCAGTTGCAGCCCTTCGTGGCCCCCTCGCTTTGCTTCGTGGCCCCGTTGCAGCCCTTCGTGGCCCCCTCGCTGCCTTCGTGGCCCCGTTGCAGCCCCTCGTGGTCTCCTCGTTGCCCTTCGTGGCCCCGTTGCAGTCCTTCGTGACCCCCTCGCTTTGTTTCGTGGCCCCGTTGCAGCCCTTCGTGGCCCCCTCGCTGCCCTTCGTGGCCCCGTCGCACCCCTTCGTGGCCCCGTTGCAGCCCTTCGTGGCCCCTTCGCTGCACTTCGTGGCCCCGTTGCAGCCCTTCGTGGCCCCCTGGCTTTGTTTCGTGGCCCCATATATGTATGCCCTTCGTGGCCCCCGCTCGTTCGCGCCCGTGGTGGCCCCATATGCATATGGTCTACGCGGCCCAGTTGCTACCGTCAGTGGCCCCATCGTTGCCTCCTGTGGCCCCGCATTATCTGCCCTTCGTGGCCCCCGCTCGTTCGCTCTCTTCGTGGCCCCATACGCATTCCCTTCGTGTCCCCGCTGTTGCCCTTCGTGGCCTACTTCGTGTCTTTGTGGCCCTGGTGTCGTTCTCTTTCGCTCTCGCTTTCGCTCGTCGCCGTCATCGTCGACGTCGTCTTCGTCGTCGTCGTTGTCGTCGCCGTCGTCGTCGTCGTCGTCGTCGTCGTCGTCGTCGTCGATCCCCTGTCCGTCCGTCTTGGGGTCGGGTCGACGGTCCGCGGCCGCCCCTTCGATCAGCGCTACCGCTGGCCAGGCCGACGGTCCGCGGCCGCCCCGCCGCTTGCCATGGCCCGGCCTGCAGGGAAGAAAGGTATACCCCCAAAAGGGGTTCGATCGAAGACGAAGAGGGCGGGTATCGAGGGTTTGGGAAATAGGCGTTATTGGACACTCGGGCGACCAGTCTTAAAATGATTGTTGTTGTTGTTGTTGTCGAACCTTCATTTCTGAAGAATAATTATTGTTGATCCCCCCCGTCCGGTGCACACTGTTTTTTCGATTGAAGTGCCTTTCCCGGGGCTCGCACCCTGTTTCTTATCAGGGACAGTCTTGAGGGTCAAACTGTGTCGTTGGCCCCCGGTTCACAACAACAGCGGCTCCCGCCTGATATTTCCTTACAATTTATTGAAGAATCGCGCTCTCGCTTTTGATTTCCTTGCAATTTACCACCGGATCGCGGCTCCCGCTTGATACTTCCTCACAGTTTATTGAAGAATCGCGCTCTCACTTGGGACCTCCTCGCAACTTACCGCCGAATCGCGGCTCCCGTCTGGTACTTCCTTACAATTCATTCAGATGCCGCTCCTCGACACTCAGGAATCGCGCTCCCGCTACACATTGCTTGGCGGTTCAAGCAAAGTTTACGCTTCAACGACCTGCCCGCTCGACCCGCCCGCGCGACCCTGCCGCTTGGTGGTCATCGGGGCCATTCCGAGGCCTCCCAGAGGTCAGAGGAGGTTTTCGGGTGCCTTCCAATCCCCCCGCGCTTTGTTTCCGCACCAGTCTCCGCTCGTATCCACCTGCCCCCACGTTGTTTCCCAGCCTTCTTTGCTGGTTCCCTTTGCCTTCATTTTAATTTCGTTCGTACTTCATTGTGCTAGTCCTCAGTTCTTCGCATTCCGCCCACCCCAACACTCTCCACCCCTTCCCGCTCGCATCCCGCATTTCTCCCAACTTATCCCCAGTCCCTCCTCCAGATTCCTCCGTGCGCCCCCCGCTCCTCCGCACTCCTCCCGGTTCTTTCTCCAGTCTTTGCGCTCCTCCTCCTGAGACCCTACTCTTGTCCACTCCATCCCAATCCACTCCACATCCCCGCGCTCCTTTCGACACGGTTGCAGCTCTCACTATCCTTCCGCCGTGCTCTCCCAACATCCCGCTTCTGTTCAGGATTCCGCGACATTTGTTTCTGACACCAGTTCGCAGCTGCACGTCCCCCTGTGGGGGTCTCCACGAAATGTTCTTTCAAGGGGGTGGTACGTTGCGCTGGCGCGACCCATGGCGAAACCTATTGTTAACCTGTGTTGGAGTGGCTGGCGCAAGCCATGGCGCAAACTGAATCGCCACTCGCAGCGCAAATCATCGTCCTCCTTCCTTCTTGCCCCCCCCCTCCCTTCCTCCGATCCCTTCGCCCTCATTCCCCCCCTTTATCTGTTACCCTTCGATTTCAAGGGCTTCACCAACCACGCGTGGCAGGGAATGAATATACCACCCAAGAGGGGGTACGATCGAAAACGAAGAGGGCGGGTATCCAGGGTTTGGGGTATGCATATTGAATGACACGCGAGCAGATAAGTGCGACCCGTCTTAAACTGATTGTTGTTGTTGTTGTTGTTGTTGTTGTTGATGTTGTTGATGAGTGTTAATTAATACACAGTTATTATTGTTGGATCCCTTATAGGCGCCCTGGCGCTCTCGCCGCGGCGCCGGCTACGTTTTCATTGAAAATGAGGCTCAAACCGGCCCCCCAACAACAGCAACGCTCCCGCTCGAACCTTCCACGTTTTTTACTCAGGGCTGGTGTTTTTGCTCGCCGCCGAAAACCGCCGTCCTAACAAAACCAGCGCTCCCGGTCGAGACTTCGTCCCGTTTTACCTAGGACTGGCGCGCTAGTCTTTCTCTCATCGGCGCCGCCCCCAGCAAAAACAACGCTCCCGCTCGAGGTTTCCTCCTGTGGCATGCGCTTCTGATCGTGAGCCTTCCGTGCGCATGCCGGGTGATTTCGTTTGCCGTGAGCACGTGGTTGCGGCATTGCTCCCAAGCCGGCCTTCGCACGCAGTGCCCGCAACGGAAGTGGATCCGCGCGCAGCGCGTGCTGCCATCGGCCGCGAGCGACTCGGCAGCAAAGCGAGCGAAGTGTTTTTGTGTGTTGGCGTTGGTGGGGGCGCCGAGGGCATCACCTTGCCCCCCCTCTGCTATCTGCTACTTCGGCCTCCCTCCATGGATGCAGCTGCCGTGCTTGCGGAGCTGATCGTGGACTCCCGCCTCCGAATGCGGTGAGGCGGCGCTGCGCCTTTCTGCCGTCCAGAGTAAAGTTAGCAGCTTCAGACTCCCACCCTTGGCTGGGCTGCTTGCCTCATTGTCGTCCTGGTCCAAGCCTGTGCCACACTTGCCGCTCGCCGCTTTGACGTTCGTTGCCAAGGTTGTGATGTTTTGAATGTGCCCGTCCTGTAATATTCTGCGTGTGGCAGTATCGCTCTGTGCCGACAGGCCATTCGCTTCGTCAGCCTCGCAATCCGAAGTCTGCCCTCCCTCCCTCCCTCCCTCTTCCTCGTCCTGATGCTATCCGATCGCTTTGTCCTTGTCTTTGTCCTTGTCCTCCTCCTCCTCTCCCTTCTCCTGCTCGGCCTCCTCCTCCTCCTCCCCTCTCTCCAGACCTTGGGAGGCCTCCAGAGATCCTCCAGGGATCTGGGGTCTTTCGGCGACCCCTGGGGCCCCCGCGGGGACTTCCCGGGCCTGGCGGATACATCCGGGGAGGGAGATTCGTGGACCTCTTTTTTTCTCGTGCTCTCGAGCTCACACGCACCGTCGGCGCCGCCCCTCCCCCACCGAGGCGGAGCAGCTGCTGCAGCGCCCTCGGCGGTCATGGTGTGGGGAAAGTGGCGGCACAGCGCGGGAGGCGAGGTTACGGTGACCCCCGGCCTCGCCGGGCTCGTCATCGTGAGCCACGCTATTCTGGGCGAGCTCACCGTGCCCCTCTCGGACTTCCTGCAAGGTGCTTCGACATTCAACGCTCCGAAACCCGGCGGCGAGCGAGGGGGGGAAGCGAGAAGAAACATAAGAATAATAAGGATACTACTACTACTACTACTACTACTACTACTACTACTACTACTACTACTACTACTACTACTACTACTACGACTACTACTACTACTACTAGTACTACTACTACTACTACTACTACTACTACTGCTACTACTACTGCTACTACTACTACTACTACTAATCATAATAATGCTAGCAATAAGACGACTACTACTAATACTACTAATAATATTATTATTATTTGTATACTACTACTACTACTACTACTACTACTACTACTACTACTACAACTACTACTACTACTATTAATACTAATCTTATTAATAATACTAGTAATGCTAACAGTAATAATACAAATGCTATTACCAATAACGATACACATAATAATAATACTACTAATAATAAGAATAATGCGAATAACAATCATAGTACTTATGATAATAATCGCAATGATAATACTATTAATAATAAGAATAATATTAAGAAGAATAATGAGGCCTTCTCAGAAGGCTTGGAAGCCCCCTGGCCTTCCGAGAAGTTTTCCGAGCCTTCCCCGAAGACCTAAGGGACTTCTCAGAAGGCGCGAGGGCCTCTGGGAAGTCCCGCCGCCTTCTGAGAAGGCCTTCTCCTCCTCACTTCCCCCCTCAGAATCCCGAATCATCAGGGTAACTCGGGTCAGGGCTAACTCGGGCTCGTTTTTTTCGGGAATCCGAACCCGAGTTATCCCGGGCCCGAGTTGCCCCGGATAACTCGGGCGTCCAGAGCCCCAAATCATC